AGATCGACTTGCTTGCGACTTTGGCCGTGGCTAGGTATGACGTAGATGATGTCATTCTGACCAAAAAGACTGTCGCCCGGAGTTGATGAAATCGACCAAGACGACAATAAGGCGCATAGTCAATTGCAATTTTCCCGATGTGACGTGCTTACTCAACGAGTCGACGTTGTGTTTGCTAGTGCGGTTGTGGCATCATGTCAAGTCTAACCTATTTAGGCCGGAAGGCGTATCTACATCATGATACATGCGACTACTTAAGGTTGCGTCAACTCAACTCTAGATCCGACAACCACGACGACTTCCATCTTTCCTGTTCATCCGCACTTTGAAGCTCTGTCCAAATATCATACAATGTCGGACGAAATCGGATCTTACGGCTGGACTGCCGTTCCAAGAGATCGTTCCAACGTCCCTTCTGCCGAGGAAGCTGCTGCTCCCCAAACCAACGCGGCCGCAGTCGACATCACAGGCATCTGGCCAGACAATGAGTTGACGAAAAAAGCGCGTGAATACGCAAAGCGCGAGTTGCCTACAGAGACGTACAACCACAGTCTCCGAGTTTACGCCTACGGTAAGTAAGCGATCAACCTAATCTCATCCGGCTTCAGAAAACGCACAACACCTTTCCCGCCTCGTACCAACAACAGCAAATCACCACTTAACACACCCGCCCCTATTCAAACTGAAACTAACAACACCGCAAACCAGGTCACCAGATTGTCACGCAGTACTTGCCCGACTGGAAGTCGAGCACGTTTTTCGAAACGTGGGCGCTGACATGCCTGTTCCACGATATCGGCACTACGGCGCAGAACATGTCGTCTACGCACATGTCGTTTGACTTCCAGGGCGGCTTCATCGCTCTAAACAAGTTGCAGGAGCTTGGTGCGCCAAAGATACAGGCGGAGAGTGTTGCGGAAGCGATTATCCGGCACCAGGATCCTGGTGAGACGGGCACGATTAGTGCTATGGGACAGCTTATACAGGTTGCAACTGAGTTTGGTATGTCTAAGTTACTATTGCTGCTTTTGAACGTTTTTCTTTTCTTTTTTTCCCTTTGAAGAGTTTGTTGTTGTTCCTGAACGATGAATACATCTTAACTAACTTGAAACTTAAAGATAACATGGGTTGGCAACCCCATCTCATAAGCCGTGAGGTGATTGAGGCGGTAACACGACAGCTACCTAGACTGAGCTGGTCGACTTGCTTCTCAAACCAGATTCGCAAGGAGATTGAGCAGAAGCCTTGGTGTCATTCGACGGCGATTCCGGGGTTTGCGGAGGCTGTGGCGGGCAACGAGGTTATGAAACCGTATGAATAAGGCTGGGTGGTGCGTAGGCATGAATGGGGAATCGGAGCACTATGATGGATAGGAAAAGTTGTGCACAAGTACACAATTGTCAGAATGTTATGATTGGATGAACATTAATGAAAGACTTCGACACTGCAGCTGATGTTTACATTGATTCTACTGGCTGTTTTCGATACGCTAGGCATCTGCAAGCACAATGCCATGTCTGCACCTCGTAGATTCTTGTGCCGGCCACGTCACGCTCTCAGCCCAAGCCACCACGTCTAGTTCCATCATTTTTATCAACGTCTTGCTCTGAGATCGCTGCGCGGACGAGGATCTGGTTGCCAATTGAGGCGCGGCTCGAAGCGGGCGGGAGATCATACGAGATGGCTCCTGAAGGGGGTACTTGAATCCCCTCTAGAATCAACATTGGCCACAGATAAGAGGGCAGGTACGATAAAAGCAAAAGTACGTTAGTAAACATAGGAAATCTCAAGGGAATTCGACCTTATAGTCCGTAGCACGAAACGTGCACGGACACTTTATCGGGGAGTTCCAACGCATTGAGCGCACAGACAGAGAACCAACGCAGGGTAAACGCCAAACTACTAGTTACGCCACTATCCCGCCCTAACATGACAGCATAAAAGCCGAGAATATAGTTTCGCCGGTTTCAACCATCAAACATCTGAGTGGGAAAGCAGCCTAGGAATAGTTTAGCTAGGCGCCAAGCAGAATCAGCTGTTCTAGAAGATGAATACAGTACACCAAGACAGCTACTACAGTGACGCCAGGTCAAGCGGAATCTGCCGCGTGTGCAAGATCTGTCTAGATCTTGATGTATCCTTGATCGATCAGGACCAACTGAGCTACGGTGTCAAAGATGTAGTACGCTAGAGTGCTGTTTGTTCTTTGCGTGATCAAAGCATCTCGTATTGGCTTTCACTTGATACTGGATACCAAGAGGAGTATTGCATGCCATCCCTAGATGGATTGACCGCTCTCGCATTCGCAGTTTTCAAAGTCGTAAGATACCAAGTGTTGTAGTAATTTCTCAGGGAGAATGCTCAAGTATATAACTTCCATGCTGTCTCACTTGAAGATTTCATCAGCTCCATCAGCATCTCCACCAGAATCTTCACCAGCATCTTCACATTCGTTACACTCCAAATCTCTCAAGTCTTCAGACCATCATTACAATCCCATCACTCAGATACTCCACACTCATTCATCCCTCCAGATCCTAGACAGCCCAACCTTCTTCCACCATGCAGTTCACTTCCTTTACGCTTGCCGCTCTCGCCGCTTCCCTGGCTTCTGCCCAGGTTCTCAATGTTCCTGCCAGAGTCGGCACTGTCCAGCGTGCTTCCAACGCTCGCATCTCTGCAAACAGAGATTTCGGCATGGCAGAGTTTGACAGCGGCATCACCTGCGATGACGAGACGAAGGGACCACCAGTCTTCATCCTCGACGATGGCGTGACCATCGAAAACTTGATCATCGGTCCCAACCAGATCGATGGTAACATTCTTCCAACCCTACTTCTGGGAAACAACTCACTAACGCTTTGCAGGTATCCATTGCCGCGGCCGTTGTACTCTGAAGAACGTTTGGTTCAGGAACGTCTGCGAAGGTGCGAATAGTCTCCTCACTCACAAACGAAACCATGACAAACTAACATTTTCGTAGACGCCGTCACTGCTCTTGGACCAGGCGAAGTCCTCATCGAGGGCGGCGGTGCCACAGGCGCCAACGACAAGGTCATCCAGCACAACGGCAAAGGCCGCGTGACCATTCGCAACTACACCGTCACCAACTCGGGCAAACTCTACCGTAGCTGCGGTAACTGCTCCAACAACCGGGCAAACAGTCCTCGCCACGTCGTCATTGAGAACGTTCGCGCCAGCGGTATGACTTCGGACCTTGTTGCTATTAACAACAACTTTGGCGACACGGCTGTTATTACTGGTACTTGTGGTAGCAACAATAAGGATGTTTGCATGAACTACTTGGGCGTTGAGAAAGAGGCGGGGAGGGATGGTCCGCCCATGAAGAACAACAATGGTTGCTCTGGTCTGGGAAGTGTTGACTCCCTTCCCGTCTGCAGATAGATAGCTGTGTAGCTCGTGGGAGAGTACAGTGCGATGGTACGCATAGATTAAGATGCCTATTACTCGGCTGGAGATCGGCATGTTGTACCTAGCAGTAGAAAAGACAAAGATAGAAAATTGCACGGATGTGTCATCGTGTTAGCCCCTTGGCTTTCTTTGCTTTCAATCTACAAGTGCTCTGCTGTCTTTTCACCCACGCTATGGCCTACCTGTTTTTGAAAGAAAGACTATCCACATCACAAGTGTCAGTGGAGTTACTTGAGTATGTCTACGTGAGCGCCAAGATAGAACAGCAGATAAGAAATCTCTGTATGAGTTATGACAAGTGTGTGATAGCCTTGCTTGTCAGCAACAGCAGATACCTAACAGCAAGGCTCGTTCGCGCACGCTACGTTGCTTCTCGATCGTTTGTGACCAACCGTCACTCTCAACGCCCCTCTCAAACACTCCTGATACCATCTATCAGTTCTCGCACATATTTAAATCTCCCCCATCTTACGCCGACATCTGATCTTCAAATTCCTCGCATAAATCTTCTTATACTCATCCATCGGCCTAACAGCAATGTCCGGTACAACTACCCCAAAACCGTGCTCGCTAGGGACATTCATCGTAGAAAATCCTAATCCTGCGGTTGTGCAGCCTGATACCCCAGAGGAGGAAAAGGACAATGAAGTAACGGAGCGCGGTGGATCTGGGAGGAGTGATAATGGCAGAACTGGAAGTATTGAGGACACAGTGACGATTACGACAACGACAGTGGTCACAAGACGTAAGGAGTGATGTAAGGAATCAGGCTTTCAACGTGGCTATACCTCGTTCTATGATCGCGGCAACTATACATTTGCTGCTCGATAATATTCGTCTGGGAAACGAGATATCGGAATTGATACATGCTTGAGCTCGTTATCGCGTGACTTCGTTCTCCAACTACTCAACTTTAGATGAATAGATATGCATGCAACATAAGGAAAAGGACCGCAGACAGCAACGGCTTCCTAGTTGTGGTGGGTTTCTCAGCCTCAGGCCACTCATCGAGGCTTTACTAGTGTTGTTACTACAGTCGCAATCGCTTGCCTCAGCATCCGAGTCGGTCTGACCGACGACTGAGAACGCCTGGCCTTTTTTTCTTAGTTGATAAGTCGAAATCATCTAAGGATCATCTTTGCACGCGTACTTTGCCAAAAAATCTCCGCGGCACGCCTGTGTAGTTATTAATTGGTTCCAGTAGAATAGCAGGCGAAGCTACGCATACTCGTAAAATAGGTTCACATGGCACGATATAATACCTCCAGGCCTTCGCTCAATCGTTATGTATACACTTTCTCCTACTTGTTCTATACATAATTCCTGTACCGAACTATAGAATATTCTATTATGTTATTATTCTTATATTTCAAACGTGATTTTAGTAAGAAATATATGCTGTTCAACGCTAAGTTGCCTAATACAAACCTAGCGGGAGGTAAGACATCACGAAGGAGCAAGACCAAGTAGAACACAGAGTAAAGAACAATGTTTCTTTTTGAGTGTCCGATGATACCGCCTTTTATAGACAGGCGAGTAGTGTTTGCAGATCTGATTTGATGCAATACTCACAAGCCCTTTACCAGGGGCTCTGTATCCTCTACAGTCCCAAACGCTGCGTGCCTTGTCTCGCCAGCCCTTCCAGTGACAACCCCGAATCTTACATTCAGATTCTTTAGGTCCATTGGTACTCCAACGTCGCCCCCAAGACTTGCCCCCTTCGCGAGCTTATTCATGGTGCCATCGCCATGTGTTGTAGTGCACATGATTTGAAGGAAGCCGCCAGAAGACGCCGATGTGCCATTTTGAAGCAGTGCACCGAAACCGAGCAGTAGAAATGCTAAGCAAGCAATGAGAGCGCCACCATATGCACCGACGAGCCTGATCCTATCTTTGAACACGTAAGCTGATCTGTAGTTGGAGGCTGTTATGACTGTCGAGATCTTATCTTCGGAGTCGTTGAGCATGGATATGGTGACATTCTTCATGAAATCCTCGATCACAGACGGCGAAAGATCAAAAAAGATGTCGGAGAAGGTGTATATCTCCGGTTTGTACACCGGATATGCGAGTTTAGTCTCCTGTATGAGGGTGTTGATTGTAAAGTAGCCCTCCGTACCTATCTCATGTTAAAATACGTTTCAACAAGTCCGCGCAAGTGCAGTTCTTACCGAATGCTGAGATAGCACCACTCAAAGCTCGGACCAGGGTATCTCTAATGGTACGTAGTTGACTTCCATGATACATATCGAACAGCTCCTCGGTTGTAAAGTTATAGAATGTAGAATCTGAATATGCGAAACCCGTCTCAGTGGGAACAGATTGCATGACATCATAGAACAGATTAGAACGACCTATCGCCGAAGCGTTTAGTGGCTGCCCTTCCGTGATGTCAACGGTCACCGTCTGTATCCAGTCCATGTACTTGACGTACGCCGTATAAGTTGAATCCAAAGTTGTGCAGCTCATGTGAGCCATGTTGTTGGTATCACGGCTCCGGTAGCTTAGATCAAAGAGAAATTGACCTCCGGACGGGTACGGCGCCGCCATGAACTCTGCAGAATCTGCCACCCACTCCGATCCAGCACCTTCCAGTTTGTTTTCCTTGCTGTAGTACGTAAAGACTTGTTCTTCGAGATCTGGGTTCGACGTGGTTTCTTGGCAACGCAAACTTGGGGCAGAGAAAACTAGAGTGTACGAACAGTTGGCTCCGCAAGGCGATGCACGAGTGAGATATGAACCTTCGAGAATTGTTCGTTTTCCAATGCCTGAGTATCGTACGTCAGGCCATCTGTATTCTCAGTAAGCGATGAGGACAGTCCATGGTATGTAACCAATCTTACCGATATTCGCCATCAGCGCCGTGAGTGAACATGGCGTGAGAGAAGAATTCAACAGCCGATCCATTGCCACGGTTGTCAACGTTGAGTGTCGGTACCATGGTTGAGTTAGTATGCGAGTCGGGCAGCTGATCTACCACAAGACTGCCGGGTGGAAATATAGTAGCGACAGAAATCAACGGAATCAGCAAGCCCAAGGACCAGAGCAAGGGCACAGCCTTCAGTAGACTGAGTTGGTATAGGTTCAGAGGGCTAGAGTTGATGGTAAACAAAGCATCAATCTTCGACAAAGGTAGTGGGCGACGACGAAGGTACCACCAAAGAAGCTGTGTGAACGCGGTGGATGCAGAAGCTGCCAGAGCCGTAGAAAACACACGGGCAAAGCTCATAGATATGGCGTTATTCCAACTCTGGGGAATCGTGTCTCCAACAAACTTGCGATCCAGAAACCAGCAATAGAAGTAATGTCCTATAGCTGTTGCAGTCGCAAACAGAAAGGCAACGACCATGATTAGTGGTGTGATCCAACCAATGCCCCATTGATGTGAGCGAAAAGAGCTCTCAGTATGATTGGAGTCAGTCTCTTGTAAGGCATGCGGATGGATTTTCAACTCCGTTTGTTGGACTGATTGATATGGCGTGTCGTATTGACGGGGCGCAGAATGGTGTGTAGACGGCATGCTGAATCGAAATAGGGATAATTGAACTCCAGCCTCGTGAGGAATTTCGGTATCCTTATAGTAACGATAAATCGTCGTTGAACCGATGGTTAAGGTCCAGGCCTGTAAAGTCCCCTTGGCGTTTCAAGCCATTCTGCAGTAGATGTTCAGCTGCGGCTGAGCGCATGCGACGCTTAGTTGAGTACCTAGGTAGACGCAACTGTTAAGAATGTTCAAAACAATAACATGTTAACAAAGGCTGGCTACTACTGTATTACAAAAGATGCATCCTTTGTAGCATGTAGCCATCCAAAAATGAGTAGAGGTTGGTTATTGCTCCAAACAAAATCGATTGCGTTCGTTTCGTGACTCCCAAAGCCGAACAATGTGTTCGGACACAAATCAATGAAAATGGCTCCCTTTTATGTGATCAGTGAGTCGAGTGTTAGCAAGAGGCCAAAAATTACTTGCCAGGTTGTGATAGCGTTGTGCATGCGACCATATCTTTTGTCTAGAACTGAGAAGCAGCGTGCGGCTGAAGCCTGCATGAATAGCGCGTCTGCCGTGGGAATAGCGTAGCGCGCGACCAAAAGCAAATACCCGCTCTCATATGCTTTTGACTGAATGTTTTGCTTCTTTAGTAGGCTTTTGAATGTGGAGGGAGACCGTACGTCATAGCAGCCAAACTCTTACTCGACAGTCGACCGAAGGCATATAGTTCGAAGAGATATAACCACTTTTCAGACACAAGCAAGTACCGAGGAATATGCCGTGGCACCTGTATCATGTGTTAATACTTCAGTAGACGTTGAAATACTTCCTCGGGTATCTTGGTCGTATTCCATATGCGGCGTCATGATGGTAAAAGTGAAGATCGGAAAGTTCAAAGGTGACTACAGTAAGCGGGATAGCAGTAGTCGCTCCAGCCAATCGCCTTCTTCCTATCCTAGTGACTAACTTGATTTTTTCTTTTCTTGACTCTCACAGACACTGCATGTACTCTTGGATTCTTACTCAACTGCTTTAAGAATCTGCTCTTCTTAAAAGAGGGAGTAGACATCAGGAATCCCGGATTGCGGCTGAGGGATGTGGCGTGCATTAGCGGGCCTCGATCTCCGACTAGCCTTGTGGGGCGCACATCATCTCCACTAGATCGTCTTAGCATACCAAACCCCCGCGATCTTCATGCGCATGAGGCTGGGCTGGAAACGGTACATCCTCCTACCTCCAGTATCGTCTGTTGAAAGCAGTGTATTCTAGCTGTACATACCGAACGATGACCACGACTCGATATCGTCGAGGGACGAAGATCAGCTTACTGATGGAGGATGTCGCGTGAAAGATGAGGTGCGGCTCCTGCATAGGTCCTACGCTTGATGTGGCCTCGGCCCATCTTTTCTCAATTGAGCGGAGCTAGCAATAGCATCCAGAACAGGCGGCATTCAGAGCCGAGTCGACTATCGTGTTCACAACTAGAGACGCTTGCTTGCTGTACCCGCAAGTACTTCTGGCTCAGATTCGCGGATGAACTAGGTTGTTGATCAACGATAGCGGGCAGTAAAGTGATCTATTCGTGGTGCCTACGTACAGTGATAGGGGTGCTCAGCTGTAGTCGATAGGTAGGGACCTGAACATCGATGCCATCCTACGATTCATCATACTCGATGTACTCCACTGCTTTTCCATGATTGCTGGCACTCACCTTGTCTACTTCTCATTGTTGCAGCTCTCTCTTGAACGATTCGCGGAATATCGTCTGGCTTCGGCTTCCACTTAATGCCCTAGCAAAAGTCTCATCCTCGAATAACGAACTATTGCCAAGGGGAGATGACACTCGACGGGATTACCATGGAAGCCATAGTAACAGGAATGCTCGCCTTCCTAGTCGTTCTCACGACAGCCTGAATGTTTGTATGGAACGAGGAGCAAAAGCAAGCCCGCCTGAAGGAAACGGCGCTTTTGCGACACTTGGTTTACCTCCTAATCGCAGCTTAGGACTTGGTCGACTGCTTCTGCGACACTTTGGATGATAAAAAATACCATCCAGACTCGTATTGACACTACGGCGAAGACGTCGACAGATGATTCATATCAGATCTGCTTGGCCAATACTTTGCTGCAGGTTGCGTCCTCCGCGAGATAACACATTTGTTCTTTCACATGAGGAGTAAAGAGGCTGGATTGCTGGAGAAGCTTTCCCGGAAGAATCAAGACGAGTCCGTTTCCACGTGCTATGGCGAGTCGATGAATGTGGTCGCTGGACCATTGATCACACACTGACTGTACAAGAGTACGCGACGAAATTTGTCGACAATCAAGGTACAGAAAGCGCTCGAGAGCTACGAGTAGTTAACTGGCTCGAATTTTGTAAGAAGTATGATCGAACCTCTGGATTAGAATCTGGAGATTCGCAAGAGTTGCGCGACGTGCTCGATGAGGATGAGGACGATCATGAGCGTATTATCCACCGCCGGTTTGGACAATTGTATGCCACCAAGTTGTTGGGGCAAAACAGCCCCCAGTAGATGAGAAACTTCAACGATGAGGAAAGGCGCCTGAGTTCCGACAAAGATAATGATACCCAGATATCAGAGACGTTTCTGACACCTGTAGATCGATCTCGTAGTGTTTCTCGACGGGTTCACTGCCACGTTATCTGTCCGTCTAGTGCGGAGCTGCGAGATGTAGGTGAAACGTAAAGCCTTCCGGCTCAATCTTCATGCTCGCAACTTGAGCAACGCCCCGCGACAGCGCGGTGGCTGGACTAAAAGAACAGTTGTGTAAGATGAAAAAGTCTATGTGTTTGATCGTAAGACTACAGAGTCTTAAACTATACGCGTGATCGACTATGCGTTGCTAGCTTCCGGCTAGCCAACGGACGCCATATACAAAGTTTGGCAACTGCCCGTTTTCGGCCCTTCATCGGCATCTATGCGAGCAAATCAGATCAGCTCTCCGCACCGCTTGTACCCCTTACGGCCGGTACTGCAGCTTCGGAGGATCACTCCGGAACGCCCATGAGGTGGGGCCACCATCACAATGCCCCAAATGGGGAGTCAAGTTCGAAACCAGGGTCCAGACTATTAAACAAGCAGTTGCTTCACCGGAAGCTTCCGTTACGTTTTCAATGACGAGCTTATCCTTGAATAAGCACTAACCCAAATTCTACCTTCCGTATCGATTTTTGCATCCGTGCAATGAACTGTGAGGCGAAACAAGGCACTCGAATCGATAGTACCCTCAATAGAAAGTGCAAACAGAAAGGCTCAGACGGAAGGCTGAAGTCGAAGGCGCTGACTATGTGCGGCTGAGTTGAAAGGTGGTTAAAGCTGACTGATAGGGATACTTCGAGCATCCAAGCTCCTTAAGTAACTTTGCGACCTAAGACTCATAATCTCCAGATCTACATGGATTAAAACAGGCAATTGATGACGTCTAGTTTCACTACACCGTCTTTCTTTTGAACAAACTCTCTAAACTCACAAAGAAGCTTGCTCCTTCTCAGCGATGAGCTGATCAAAGACATGCCCTGCTGTAAGAGTGTAATCTGGAGCGAGGACATGATATTCACGAGGCACGAGATTTTCTTGAAACAGGCGGTCAAAAACGTGATGCGGTTTAGCAAGAAGAAATCTTGTCGTGTGGAGATTCTGTATACGAGAAAAACCACTCCTCAATAGGTGGTACCCCTCCCTTGTCTCTTGGTCTTGAGAATCATCTTATACCCCCGAAGTCTGGGTTGAGCACAGATGTCATCCCGCACTAGGGCGTACACCCTGTGCACCGGCACACTACAAGGTGCATTTTAGAACTTAGAAGAAACAGGCTCTTTCATAGGCCCGAAACTTCCATTGAGAGAAAAGGTCGAACCACGCAGCAAGCGGAGTGCAAGACTCCGCTGCTCTGGAAACAAACATTATAAATACTCATGCTCTCCGCTGCATATCATCCATTCCGGAACATCATCACAACATATCTCATCAAAGTCCGCCACAACATCTCCCAATCTTTCCAATGAAGTACACTCTCCTCGTCTCGATCTTCTTCGGTATGGCTATCGCCGGGCCAAATGTGTTAACTGCGGAGGATATTTTTGGATTGGAGAAGCGAGCCTGCGGTGTTGGCAACCGCTACACAACGTATGCAGTTTGCAAATCTGTCGGTTGCAAAGTTTGTGTTCCAAACCATACTTGCGATGTAAGTATACAATACTTCTAGTAGTGTGACAGTAACACGCTGCTGCTTGACCTGGATTGCATGGCTAATATAATCGATTTGGTGTAGGCTTGTTGAGCGGTCTATGGATCTGGCTCCTGTAAACTGCTTCTTGCATCGCACTGTATGAAGTCCTTTCCTGGAAATCCAATATCGGTAGAATCCACGAGGTGGTGAGTGCTTGTGGAGGAAAATTTGTCTCGAATGGATGGCCAATGGTACTTTAGTACAGAAGCTGGAGGCAGACCTTTCGTGATACTTAATGACGTGTCGATACCACAATCGAAAGCTTAGAAGGATATCTTCACTTGACTGGCTTTTCTCTCTTTCCTTCCCTCCTGCTTGTGAACAGTGGCAAGTGTCATTACCCCACACGGCACTCACGTAGTGAGTTCCACCGTAGTGAGTTCCACCGTAGCGACGATCTGGGCAGCAACAAAGCTTAAGGGTGAGTATCGAGGCAAGCTAACCCAAGGCATATAGACCAGTTATGCTTGAAATCCATGGACAGAAGATGATGGGAAGGGAAAGTTGAGAGATCACATAAAGACTATAAGACTCTATACAGCATGATAAGTACAAATGAGAGACTTCAACTTCGTTACTTGCATGTATCGCAAGTGCAAGAACAACTCATAATCTGCGAGGCGAATACGGGTTAATTCTATGCAGAGGTGCTCATCAAGGATATCGCGGATATCACTCATTGAACGAAAACACCCGGTACGTCACGCACCGATACGTGTACTCACCACCACGGAACTCATCAGGTATGTTGTTGCAATCCTTGAACAACCTACGCAGCGCGTACCGACAATCATCTCTTCCCATGCGCCAGTTGTAGCCCCTGCGACACCATTAGTCATGCTGAGCACGTATCATAGGAACGTAGGAGACTTACTCGCACCACTTCATATCGTCATACGGTTTCGGCGCCCCATTCTCAACCGTCTCCATGCCGAGATGGAGATACTGTGGATTTCGACTCTCGGGATAAAAACCTGGCTGACCATCTGCAGGAAATTCCCATCCTTGGTCACCATACTGACCGAAGCCTTTAATCTCCGCATCATCGATACACCAAGCGTCAATTGCTTGTTCGAGATCGTCTGGAGAGAGCTCTCTGCCAGTAGCGTATTTGGTTCCATCCCAACATTTGGGTGACTGGGGCTTGCTGCTGCCTTTCGCGGTCAATTGTTCTGGTGCAGGAAAAGATGGATGTTCGTCCCAAGGAGGACTATCGCCCTTCGTGACGCCGCTTAGATCAAGTCTGTAGTCGATAGTCCCAACGGTAGCGGTGAAGCCGTGCGACGTATCAGAGTCTGGATCGCACTTGCTCAGACCTTCCTTAAGGGCGGCGATGCATTCGTCTTTTACGAACGATGCTTGTTGATTGTCGCCATGTGGCTTGGCGCGGAGCCAGAATGAGCGGCGATCGGGTACGTCGAGTTGGGTGATACCCCAACGCCAGTACACGTTATCTGAGATCGAGTTGGAGGAAAATTGATGGCCATCGTTATCGCCACACCACGTTTGAATAGCCGACTCAACGCTCGTACCCCCGGAGGCTACATCGTCTCTCTTCGGTGCATCGAGTGGGTGGTTCAAACACTCGACGGTAGACTGGATTTGATGGTGAATAGTGAAGGAATAAGTGCCACAGCCGATGTCGATGCCTCCATTGCCTGCCATGAAGCCACCCTCATCGCCTACTTGGCAAGATTTATTCTCTACAAGGCTTTCGAAAGCCTCTTCGCATGAGAAAGCACAATCGGTGGCATTTTCTCCAGTTTTGGGTCTCCACCACAAGGCGAACTTGTAGTCGCTAAACGTGTTCGAGCTTTCCCGTATCCAGAAACGCCGACGTTTGAACTGTAATTGCTCACCTTTGGCGTTGACCATCCAGGTAACGTCTTCGGCTGAGCCGTCTGCTTTCTCGCAGAAGTTGGCGTAAGTCGCATTGAATGCTGAGCTTGGAAACATGGTATCCTCGTTAGGCATACAGTAGGTGAGCAAGTCTTTGATTGGAATTTGAGGCTCGATTGGCACGATCCAGGGCTCCACGGTCATTGTTCTCACAGCATACTCGGTTGGAACCGCAGTTGGTAGACCGGTCATCGTTGGACATTCCGTCGTGCATCTCTTGATCGCGCCAGCCACACGGCAATATGCTGAGCACTCCTGCGTACTAGAAGAGCTCGAGCTACTAACAGTAGAGGTCGCCGACATTGTCGAGCTAAAAGTCGTTATTGAGGGCGTTACCGATATTGTCGCCTTTCCTTGAAGCTCAGTGCCAGGAATGCGGATCGAAGGATATATAGGGTTGCCAGTTATCGATCTCTCGTAGATTAACATGAATACGAAGGCGGCCATAGTCAGTGCTACTGACGGATTCATGTTGATGAATTGGTACGAGATCTCGGCGAATTGCATCACCACTTCCATTGCTTCTTGCACTTCTGGTATCGTCCAAGATGGTATCCAACTTGAAGTTGTCGCCAAAGAGCCAAGATCTTCGAAAGCAGCACCGGGTGAGGCATTGAGAACGACCTGCTTGGTAGCGCATATTGCTCCAGTCAGGTGCTCATTGAAATCCAGACTACGGGCTTTTCGAGAACCGGAAAAGCTGTCGTCGATTGTACATTTCTGGCTTCTGTCGATAAGTTCAGTCATCCGCTGTCCGAGAGCCTCAGGAATATAGATCTCGATGTCTCCTGGCAGGTTTTGGCCTATCGAACTGCTGAACGTTGTTTGATGCGGTGTGTTGGAGCTGAGTATGGTTAGTACGCCGATCGAGGATAAAGACACGAGTACCTACGCCGTGGTTGAGGCTACATCAGGCTTCCGCGTGATTGTAACCATTGCTGTCCCAGTTCCGGTAGCGAAGGCAAGCGTGGATGCCTGCGCTGCGGAAGCTATAGGACCTACTTGGTTTAAGGGAGCATGAATAGCAACCGGCACGCCTTTCGAATTGATGAGCTTGTTCGCTATCGGAAAGTAGAGCGCTGCCAAGAACGCCAGAGAGTATCCAGCGATCAAGATCTGTCGTGCTTCTAGCTCAGTCTGCGGATTGAGAAGAATGTTATTGATGGTCTCGAGACACGTGTCGTCAATGTTGGCACATGCATCGTCCAAAGCAGTTTCGATTTTCCCGCGCAACTCCTCAGACAAAATGAGGTCGAAACCATCTTTCGGACTTGGTGGATCGGTAAATACGATACGTGATCCCGTCAGAGTTGGCGTAGTAGCCTGTATATTGTCAGTGAACAGGATAAGATATTGAAGCAGTGTTAATTGTATACTAGAGTTGCCGAGTACTGATCGATATCACCCAAAGTGAGTGTGAAGATCTCAGCCATCGAGACTGATCGAAGTACGAACAAACCGATCAAAGTGAGATGTCGAACCATAATGCGGACCGAAAGAGGAATGTGATGCGGGAATGAAGAGTACAATACACGATTCGCAGTGCTCCGTTGATATCTGGTATATTGATAACTGTAGGAGCGACCACTTATATACCCGCAGTCGCCTCGAGCAATACGCTGTTCTATGGATCCTTCGGGAATGTAAACATCACGAAGTGTCGCAACTTTCTTACAATTTGGCCCTCTAGTCACCTGTCCGTCTCACTGAAGCGCGCCTCCTCCTGCGTCTGATCCTGTGCCGCTTCCTGCATTTTGTTGGCGTAGATGTAGTGGCATTATTCCTGAAGGTGAGTGAGTGGGGGGCCGAAACTTCCCCCTAGATGCAGTCTCTGGTAGCATGACCATGGGTGCATGCGACCGACATGTGGCATTTTCTTACTCTTCTGTTGCGAAAACTACCAATTTGGCTCGAGAAGTCAATTGCGTCACTCAATCATGCCCCCAATAACTGACCCTGTTGTAACTAGTCAAATGATACGTCCGAAATGGCGAGATGCCGAGATAGCAAATAGTGGATGGCCCAAATTTCTACCTACGATCATGGCTTTTTAGGTTTTCGAGATGGAGGTTTGTTCAACACCATTATTCGAACACCCGAAAGTGCCGATATCATTGCACTATCGACAATCTCAATAGAACGATGAGATACTTCATCCTAATCAGCATTACATGACAGAAGATTGTTCCACCACATCTGCTACTGCGCATGTTCAACTTCGGCTGCCTTGAGAATCTCAAATAACTCTTGATCGCCACGACGTTGCGCACACTCGGCCGGCGTGTTCTTGCTTACCCTGCCTCTAATAGTGGGGTCTGCACCATTTTTCAGCAGATACAACAGTTTCTCCTTAGATCTGTAATGAACCGCATGGATGAGCGGCGTTGCCCAGTTCTTCGCCATGAAGTTCACGTCAGCACCATGGTCAATCAAGACACCCATGGTAGCAGTGCCGTTCTTGTGTCCACGGACTTTTATGGCGTGAAACAATGCCAACGGATCCATCTCGGCCCCATGAGACAACAGAACTTGCAGCGCCGTTGGGTCTTTGAGTTGTGCCGCTGCGGCGAGCGCGGTGCCAGGCTGTAGACAAGAACTACGCCTTACAGATCTGATGTTTGGATCCGCGCCGTTATCAAGTAGCCAACGTAATAGGCTTTCGTTGTGCAGCGCTTGGCTATGACCGTGTGAGTAAGATCGTGAGTGAACTGAAGTAGGTACTCACTGTACAGGCGGCCTCTCGAATTCCGTGCTATTAATATCCCAGCCGTGATCGATGAGTTGCTTAAATACAGCAGGCTCTTCTCTGATGAACAATTCATCGTATGAAGAGTATTTGAGTGTAGCTCCGTGATTGAGGAGAACTTCGATCGTACGCAGAGATCCAGTCGATATCGCTATAGTTAGAGAGTCTTGCAGTTCTTCGTAGCTTCGTTCTGGATGCACGCGAAGCAGTTTCAGGAGCTTGTCAGTGTCGTCAGAGCCGATGGCCTCCTGTATTTCCCGAGGTACGTTGTCCATGTCGCTAGTAAAGGATGCCCGAGTGATTTGGTGTGCGGCACCATCTTTCTGTGGCGGGGTTGATGGGTATGTTATACTCGAAACATGCGGCACAGCTGTGTGCGGGCCAGGCGATAATGACCTTCGAGTGATTGTTAGATAACTTGCGTCATGCCAAGACACTAACCGCTTGTGATGGCCCCCAGTTCGCACACGGCCTCGGGTTTCAGAGGACAACACCTTTGTTAGCCTGAATCTCAGCATCATCTATGTCCTTGCAGGTGATGAGACCTTCTGGCACGGTCGATAGCGCGCGCATCGTTCCATACGCTATGTACCTACGACGCCCGGTTGGGGCACGGCTTCAGCCTACGTCTCCTGTTTGCGCCACTTTCATGATACGGCACTTGCAGATAACCATATTCATGAAGCCGGTATTTATTCCAAGTCATTCTCGCTTTCAACTGATGGCGAGCACACACATCTGCGTGCGGGAAACGACTTTTCGGTGTGACCATCAAAACTGGTAAGCGCATAATATTTCAAGGAGAATACTAAATATTCACGACCTAAAAGAGTGGAAGATATGAAGATTGTTCTCTTCACGGTTCTGTTAGCCATCTACTGTTCAACTGCGAACGTCATCTTGCGTAAGTACTGCAATCTCTGTTATGTTCCTAACTTCTTGCTGATGGTCGCCAAGGATACTCAAACAGTGCCGATGAATTCTTTCAGAAGGATGCTCGTGTGGTCGATTATGGCATTAGCAAGCACTCCCTTTTTGACAGAAAGCTCAATAGCCGTGACGGTCGTTCGAAATGCAGTGCGCCCAAGAGAGGCCCCGGCATCGCAGAGAGGAGTCTGGTGGTCTCCTTCGACAACTCTACCATTGACCGACGCATGAAACTACCCACTCCTGAGAACATAGCCAAATACATCAGGGATGAGACTAATGAAGCCGAGCCAGTAGTTTGGGGCGTGAGGGATACAAATGCGGCAAAGACTGAGTACGACGTCAACACCTCGTTATTCGAGGAATACAAGTTCTACCAGAATGATGATGGCTTGAGTCTTAGTGCTACGCATTTGACAGGATGTACTATGCTGGCTATCATCAGCCGCAAGGGTATATGGATCGGGCATTTCTGGGAGAATATAGCGTTCGCCACAGACGAAGATAATCAATTTTGGGAAAGATATAACGAAGACCAAGACAAGATTTTCGAAGAAACGGTCATCAAGGGCATGAGAAACGGTAAAGGAAGTGGCGAAAACAAACAACAAGACTCTTTGCGGCTAGCGGCACCGAAGCTCGACGACGACCACATCAAGGCATATCTCGTTCATCCGTCTTCAAACTGGAAAGAAAACGGTGACTACCGTTTGTATTGGGACCGGATGAAGGCCGAAGCAGTTACTCACATCCCAAAGCTTGGTCAACCAGATCGGTGGGTAGAACAGGCATATGAGCCCACATCCAACAAACGCATACTAAGATATACACCGCGTGGGAGATTGCTGTTCAAATACGACGCGAAACATCGCTCAGAAACGTCCTCTGAAGGTGCATCGGGCACACAACAACTGGCCATGTTGTGGAGCGAGACCACGGAATTGCACAGAGATGCCTGGTAGATTGACACTATTGAGCAAATCTGCCTCATACTTGGGGCTTGTGGTTTCTGATCACCCCTTCTCGGTGTGTCTCATGATGCTCAAGCAACACTTAGGTATCGAACGCAACTCTCTGCCGCTACTAGCAGCAGATAGCAGATCCCGCATCCCAACTGGGATGGTGATCACACTACGTTCATTTTCTTCATTTTCTGGTAGCTTTCTTTCTTATCAGTATGGCTGAATGTTTCGGAAGGGTTCATCTCCCGGTTCCAGCAAGATCCCGGCAATTGCTGGAGGCAACATCACGATTGGGGTGGGGTCTGCGTCTGTAGTTGTGGCTTTGTAGCTGTCAGTGCCTTCCTACGCTAGGGGCTCTTGTATGGTCATGATGTTACAGTCGATGTCGAAGCAGTCTGCGCGCCCAATATCAAATCCTACATTCCCTTCGAGCAATATTAGTGGCCGGTCTCTGTTGGAACTATTTACATATGCCCTTCGCGAACGTGAGAATATGTAGGGTAAGGGAATGAATTCAAATGGTCAGATGATATACAAGTCTCTGAAGACACGGCGAAGTTGATTTTACCGAGTTCTAACATTCCAAGATACACAGTAAATCAAGTTGCAATGAAAGAGCTGCTTCGCGGGTGGATCTTAACGAGCCAGCCTACACAAGAGAAAAATCGAACAGGTAGAGATGAGAAGCTCTACCTTACAGCTTACATTAGCTTATAACAACAGAGATAATAAAGATTAATAGTATTGTAGACTTCTAGGTTCTCTATTAATCTTTATATAGCTCTAATACAATTTATTATAGTAGGAAGAAGTACTCTGCTCCAATAAGATGTTTAGTTTCTCTCTTTCACGTAGTGGAGCAATAAAGTCGGAGTTAACGGACGACCACACCGCTTCGTCTCTGCTAACCATGCCAGTGAAGCGATCATACGCAATGCAGTTAGAATAATTAGGACTCGTTGAATGAATGAGAAGGCTGAATCGAGCGAAGCACACATGTGGGAATTCTGACGGGGCAACTTTAGCCGCACTCGGCCGTAACGGTCGTTTTGCGCAACAATCTCGGGACACTTGGCACGATTTACTAATCTGATGGTTCTTGATGAACAATCACCTCGATCTGTTAAACCAAGTGAAATATTCCCTTGGCAGCTCTTGTGCGCAAAATTGAGGCTAACATGAGCTGGCTGCGTGTGCAGATAGTCATATACATAAACAACCCTTGATTCTTCAACAATGACTGACAACTTCCAAGATCAAGGGTGTGTTCTGCTTTCTCGACTTGAATAATGCTTTCTTCGCTCAAAGCTCTCTTATTGGCAAGTAGTCTGTTACTCTCGTCAGGAGCAACACCAACACTACACCGTCGTGCAGAGGTACTGAGAAATCCAATATGAGCTGTGGCTGGAACGCAATGCTGACAATATACCAGGATTCGACATGTCAGTTCAATCTGAACCTTGAAACGGTATGTCTACTAGATTCTCGAACAGTATCAAAAGCTGAGTTTTATGAGGCGGATATCGCAAACACCAGTTATGTGCGCATGATGAAGAACGTCAAACTTCCTACTTCTGGAACAACATACCGCTATGCCATCAACTCTCCTAGCGAGAGTGGTAAGCCATACCTCTTGTTCCTTCATGGCTTTCCAGAGTCTTCGTACAGCTGGGTCAACCAGATTGAGTACTTCACCAGACGTGGCTATGGTATTATAGCTCCAGATCTTCTGGGTACTGGTGGTACAGACAAGCCTGTGGAACTGGAAGCTTATAGTCTGAAGACGATGGCATCTGAAGTTGCTGAACTGCTTGATTGTGAGGGCATTGAGAACGTAGTGGCGGTTTCGCATGACCTGTAAGCATACCTAGCCACGGTGACGCCGATCTCTTCCAAGAATTTCGAGCTGACGTGCCTCAGAGGATCTTTCTTACTTTCCCGGTTTCATACGTATCAATCGAAGTACCTCTCAGCTCTTGCGTTCTTGGATATCGGGTACTTTGCTCCCGGCGTCGATGTCAATATGACCTACGTCGAGACTTACAACAACATCTCACAAGCCGAAGTCGGCTACCCCGCTCTCGGGTACTGGTACTACTATGACCAACCAGATGGGCACGTCCTCATGGACGAACATGTAAGTTCATCATTACGACCCAGTTTTCATACAAGCTGACAATAGCGAAGTTGGATTCATTCTACTCCCTTATTTACTCTTCCAACACACCAACGGATTGGATCGAGCACATCGCCAAGATCGGCGCCTCCCAAGAATGGCTAGCAGCAGATAGAATGGCTGAATACGGCAACAGTTACATCACCAATTCCACTCGAGAGCAATGGAAAACCATTACCCAAGCACAGGGTGGTGTCGAGGCAGCTCAGAGATGGTACAAAGCGCTTCTGCGAGGTATCAACTCGAAAGACGAAGACGAAGTCCGATCCATGTCAGGAATAATTGAGCAACCATCACTTTTCATCGGGGCAGACAGGGATCCTGTTGGTCTTCCGGCACGGCAGCTGATGGCGACTTTACCTTATGCTCCGAGAATGCACGTCAAGTCTGTCGATTCTGGACACTTTCTTCACATCGAGCAGGCGGATGAAGTCAACGAGCATCTCTATGAGTTCTTCCAGAGTCTTTGAGAATCTGTGTCACCCCAGTGAGAGCGGAAGACACACGATGTCAAAATGTATTGTAGGCAGGAATAGCATGGATTATAGCGAAGCCCAAGTCAAGTCAAGTTCATTCTGATACGCTTTCCGATGGCAAAGCTGAGAGAAGGCGTAATCTAGGGCGTTTCTCGAAAGCTGAATCGCTTAGAGAGTTGCGGCAAAGCTAAGTACATTTGGCTATGTATCTCTGATCCCCTGGATTTCGTGCAGCCAACTATGGGGAATAGTCGATAGTGGTCTTCCCCTTGATCGTGTGATCACTTAACCCACTTTTGCCAGTAATAGTGGCACCTGAAGTCCAGTTCATTTTCATTTGACCATTCCAAAATTCACCAGTAAACTCGCCCTCAAAGTCCTGAGGATGGTTGAGAGTGAACACTAGAGGGTCAAACAAGAATTCCTCGGCTGGGAAGTCTTCTGTGAGCTCCCCCCTAATTCTCCAGAAAGTGTTGCCATGAATGCGTCCCTGCATGCGTTTCTCTTCAATGAAAACCCATCCTGGAATTTTCTCAGCCTATAGGTTTACATTATTAGCCCAATGATAAATAGTACGCTACAGAAGGTTGCTTACCATCGTTGCTGCAGGTTGGGTGGATACGTCCACATGGATTTTGATTTCAAGGTCTTTACTCTCAGATGCATGAACTTGAGTGTCAATGGTCTGCAGAGTATTCTTGTGCGCAGACTTGTCCACCACAGTCTCAGGGGCTACTACGAGTTGCACATCGGCGTCATAGGTTTGGTGGTAAGGGACCGCAGCGGCCGACTGAAGAATGGCAAGTAGAACTGTTGCTGAAAAATGCATCTTGGTGTTGAAAAATCGAGCTCTTGGTGAGATTTGCTTGGTTGTTTAGTGTAGATAGGAATGTCAAGCTTATTTGCTCTGTAGGAGGGTGCAGTCAAGGTATTTATACCTTTGCCATCCAGTGCAGAATACGTCTTCCAATTAGTAATAACATATTTGTAACACAAGACGGCAAGACGGGCGGTACGGTCCGCGAGTCCCAACATGTTTACTTCTCTCTCTGGCGTCTTAGCTACATTGGTAAATGGGTATAGTATACCCATTTACCAGTCTAGTCTTAGCTTAGAGATTTGCTTTTCACTCGCGCTTCGAGCGCGAGGAGATATACAAGAATTACTCTCAGGACAACCCCAATATCTGTTGTAGTGATACAGAGCTATCCCCGACTATTTCTTGTAGCGTGAAGCAAGTACTATTGCCTACAACTACCCCGTACAATATTGCTGCTTTATAATTAGGTGTTATAGCATCGCTTAATCATCTAGTGCATGTAGTGTTCGGTACGGATCGCTGCATCGCTGCAACGCCCTGCACCGCATCGGTCTTAGTCTACCGCGTTTCCATCCATCGCATTTCTACTAACCCACTATTGGCTGTCAACACTTCACCTTGCGGCACACCTTCTCGATCCTGTGGCTGACCTTACGGGGAGCTGGCCATAGGGCTCGTGGACCTCTGGCCGATCGCGTGGCTGGTAGTCTTTAGTCCACTACAGCCATGATACTGTTAAGGCATACAGCCGAGGACACTAATCAGAACTAATCTATCACAGATTTACTTGAGCTTGAAGGGGCCAAGCTCTCAGATAGAGGAGGTATGCTATCCTAAGGCGGTAACCTTAAGATAGCTGCTTAACTGCAACTATCCCTCCATCCCGTTTTCGGCTGATCACCTTCAAGGAGCTCCGACCTAGCGTTCGCCCTAATCACGGGTTGAACTCGACGAACTGGTTGATCGGGTGCACGGGTACTGTACCGTGTCCGTCGCGCAATGCCCGGGCGTTCTGTCGCAGATTTTGTCTCAACCTCGACATGTATGAGCAGTCCTCGCGGGATGGTCGACAAGGCACATCTTCATTTTGCACTTGAAGCTTCGGATCCAGCTTCTTTAGTCGCTATGGACGTAACGATGGTCTATGCATCATTCTTCCGATTCTCTATGGAAGCATATCAAGGGTCTGGGGAGTGGTCTTCTACTAGTTGAACAGACGGGCACTATTCGATGCAAACTGATGCTATTGGTTGAGCCGAGGGACGGCGATAACCGAATAGTACAGTTGAATTGATACATACAACTTGGCAAACCAGATTGAGAAATTATTAGGGAACGAAACCTGGTTCAACAAAAAGATCACTCGCGAGCTGAGAAAATTCGTTGCAAGATCTACGAGGATACAGCTAGACAGTGGCTGCGATGGCAGTATCGTTCCTCACGATTTCCTCCAACTTATCGCACATCGCCCTAATCTGATGCGGAATACTAGCGTTATGCTTCGCAGCCTCCTCCGGATCCCTCGGCGGTGGCCCCAAAACCGGAGCTTCCAGCCTCGACTTTTCAAGCCAAGCAGTAATCTTCGGCTCCTCAATCCACCTCAACCTATTCTGCATAGAAACTAGAAGAGTAGCGGACCAATCCGCTGGTTTACTCATAGAAGGAAGAGGCTTGCATAATTCGTTCTTCTTTTTCTCATCACTGTTGTAGGTAGCTTCGACATGTGCAAGGAGCGCGGCGCTGAAAGTAGGCTGGACGAACTTTACCATCTGGATCGTTATGTGTCTGCCTTTCCAGATGGGAACAACAGGTCGGTATGGATAACCAGTTGCAGTACAGTCAATGTAGAGCGTATCGGGCACTGGTCTGTATGTGCCCTGCTCCAAAGTCACCTTGTCTGAATCGATGCGTTTGACTCGTCCCTGGCGTATAATATTTTCGACTCGCTTGATCTCTTCAAGCTCTGGCTTTGAGACAATCGCCGCCTTTATCATGGCTGGTTTCACGCTCTTGTTTACACGATGCGCATGTCCGTATGTCTCCATGCGCAGAAAAAGCTCATCAGATGTTGTGGCTCCCATGAGTGCGTCGGCTTTTTCTTTCAACTGCTGTTCAGGGTTGGGTGTGCTTTCTGGTGCTTGGAGGGTACCGCGTTCGAGGAACCAAGAGTCACGTGGCATGATCCAGGAAATCTGCTGCGGAGGGATGCCTTGAGATAATAGCCACACGCACGCGTCGACTGCGGTTTTTCCAGCCCCAACCAAAGTATAGGCGCCATAAGGTCGTTTGAGTGTTGCCAAGGCGTTAGGCGTAACGAGGTTGACCTGGTCTGAGACTTCGTAAGAAGGTGGGCCCATGGCTGGAACTGTGATCTTGGAATACGTGGCGTCTACAATACGAGTGTTTGGTCCGACTTGGTAGCGCTTTCCCGTGGCAATCGACTCAAACTCTCCTTCGGTAGTATAGTTGTGCAGTGGGTAATACGCAACCCGACCAGACGGAAGAAAGGTACTTTTCATGACCCTGCTATAATACGCAACAATCTCGTCGCCTGTTGCTAATTCCAAAAAGCCCTTGTTCATACCAATCTGGTCAATCTTCTCGTCTCCAAGCTTTCGAGAATCCACGCCATAGACCTTGGATGGCTGGTGGAGAGTGACATGCGGATAGGCGATTGTCCAGTGACCTCCTGGGCGGGAATAGCTGTCGACAATGGCTACTGTGGCTTTGATGTTGGAGGAGATCAAAGTGTCAACGAAGGCCATGCCTGCAGCACCTGCACCGACGACGAGGTAGTCGGGGGAGATAATTTCGGCCATGTTGGAAAACGGTATGCTTTGTGAGACACAGTGGGCAATAGTGAATCGGGTAACGTTCGACGACCTGTTGGAGAATTGCATGTGTTCTCGAAACAACAGGATTGTGTTTCAAGAGGACAGAGGAGAGAGCACATCTATATACCTGAGCAGGTACCTTGTCCATGCATCATAGATACTGAATCTATGATAGACGCGTACGACCTGTAAGCCATCATTGAACCAAGTTGAACGGACTGCTTCTTCGGCACTATTATTTCGCTGTTGATATGGCCAGCAATTCACGATACCTTGGCTTGTCCACGTAGGTTTCTAGTAAATTGCCGCCGAGCTTGCAATTGCGACAAAAGCCGCTCCGCCCGGTCGAAGGCTTCAAAAATAAGCAGACTACAACCTGGATGATACAAGGATATTGTTGAGGCAGCCGACTTTCATTACCTTCGGCCCGAGATTACGGACGTAAAACATGAGACCGAGCGACAACAATCGAGGTTCGGAGTGTCAAGGTCCTACTACGTAGCGGCAGAGTTGGTAGAGATTCAATTGCGGAAAGATCGGTGCTGCGCTACGGGCGTAACGAAGCAGGGTCGCACTCACTCCGGACAGGATCCTAACGTTGAAGTGGGTCCGCTAGCATCATAACACTGCGATCCGAGCCTTGTCAATCCCGGCAATCGGTACCTTCTGCAACGACTTGCTGAGATACCTTGGGGTGAATGACTCGAAAAGTTATCGTGCTTGGATACACCAACGTTTGGTCGGCTTTTTAACAAGATCTTCATTCCGTATGTTCCGAGCTGTATGTCCATGGTATTGACCAGTTTTCTGGGCGCATAGACAGAGGTGATGATTCAGATAGCAGGTAGAAGAATCTATGATATAAAAATAAGGGAGCGAGACTGTTGCTGACTGGCACAGCTGCGCGACGTAGCGAAAGTGCTCTTATATGGAATCTTAGGGTGGCAACATGGTCTTACCTTCGACTTAAAGAGCACCGCGGGTAAACAGCCATGAAATCAGGAAACCTGACCATGTTGGTGTGGTGTTGGTGAATGGGGAACGGCATTTCGTGGAGTGCGGATGAGATGACTAAGAACAAGACGGCCTCGGCTGCAGATCCAAACTTTTGGTGACATCAACGTGCGCCGCGTCTCCCAAGCACGAACACCAACCCAAACGTCGAATACCGTGATGAAGCCACAAAATACAGCCCGAGCATTACGCTCATTACGAAGAAGCCTCCCGCAACCCTCAAAAAGCCATGTAGCTGCCACACAATCGTTACTCCGGATACCACGACCCTCACGAGGCTTGTCCACCACCGCGTCACGACACCACAACCCCACCCCGAATTCTACTTCGACGGTTGATCCAACAGAAGTATCGCACTTCAACGCCCTCGCCTCGTCATGGTGGGACCCCCACGGTCCTTCCCGCCTACTCCACCTCATGAACCCGCTACGCCACACCTTCATCTCCCAATGCCGCTCCTCCACCTCTGCTCCCAACCCACAGGAAAAGCTACGATACCTAGACATTGGCTGTGGCGGCGGCATCTTTGCTGAATCTGCCGCGCGCCTCCCCACGACTACATCTGTCACAGCCATCGACCCCACGCCGCAGGTCCTGTCCATTGCCGAAGCACATAAAAGGCGAGATCCCACCTTGACATCGCCGGGGAAACTCACGTACTTGAATACATCGATCGAACAGCTGCCACAGCCTGCCTCGCCCTCCGAAGCCTTTGACGTCGTAACGCTGTTCGAAGTCATCGAGCACGTCAATGCGCCCGGCCCGTTCCTCGAACACGTTTTACCACATGTGAAACCTGGTGGTTGGCTGATTATGAGCACGATTGCGAGGACGTGGACGAGTTGGATTGTTACGAATGTCGTGGCTGAGGATGTGTTAGGGATTGTGCCCAAGGGGACACATGAGTGGAGCAAGTATGTCAACGAGGAAGAGTTGAGAGCTTGGTTTGGGAAACAGCCTGGCTGGGGGAGCGTCAAGGTCATGGGTACGGTTTACGTGCCCGGGTTGGGGTGGAAGGAGGTGGCAGGGAGTGAGGGGTGGGGCAACTACTTTTTTGGCGTCAGGAGAGAGAGCTGAACGGTACGGGGAAAGGGAATGAGGGGTCGGCATGCGTTATGAATAGATGGGACCATATGATACCCTAATGTACAGTATATACAA